GAAGCCATATTGTGAGTAATTGCTTTTTCTCCCCTTGGTATGCCAGGCGGTACGTTCGGCAGCCATGTTGTTGATTTATGAGCGGTGAGTGTATTAGATTACCTTCCCATGCGAGCTATGAGATGTGCTTCACCCGAAGGCGGAATTCTCCATTGTTGAGAAAACCGAAATCCGAGGAGGATGGGGCCTGCATGGGGGTTTCGAGCACTGACCAAAAGCAAACATTTACACCACCCAACAGTTAGCAACATGTTAAAGCTCCATGCAAATGCTTAAGATCTTCCATAACAATAGTTTAGAGCTGCTGCTTTAATTGTTTTATTACAGTATCCACACAGACCTACAAAATTGCTAAACACATTGATAACCTCCATTCTTATTTGACAAAGTAGTTGGCGAACGCCCATATTCCTCAGATCAACGAAATGGTCATTCCGTAAACCAACATCAATCTATCGAGTCTTCAACGCTCATTTTCATTTCTCTCCCATTTTTTTCAAGGGTTTTTTGAGGGAGAAGCGTACATGACTGACTTTGTTCCCTCTGGGCATCTGTCTTTTCCTAGACGTGAACTTGAGAAAGTACATATATTCAATCACATTTGTCTTGCAGGCGCTGCGTCGCTGCACTTAGAGGAAGTGGAACTGAATGCAACGGGTAAATGCACCTCCAATTGCCATTAATAACAATAGATAGCCCTTGTTGTGCATTCATTCACTATCGGGCTAAGCACAGACAAAAAAGGTAAAGTGGTAGTAGACTCCTAATCTAACGTATGGATTCTAAACTTATTTAATACATCTAATAATCTAAAGTATGGATTCTAAACTAATTTAATACATCTTCTAATCTAAAGTATAGTTCTAAAGAATTGGCAAACATCTTTAAATTATCACAGTCTAGATGACCGACCCAATATGATTAACGGCCAGGTCAGCCATATGTGGGCGTGGCTTATCAAATCCTGTGACCATAGAATGGATAAAACAAAAGGCAGATACGATCATAAAGAGGACTTAGAGATTACGAGGGAAATGTCCACTAGCAAGGTGCAAATGTATCATAGAAGTAAATTCACGCTGACAGTACATTAAATTCATGCGTACAGTACATTTACTAGAAAATTGATTGTAGTGAGCAGTATAGCTGCCCTTTTGAGAAGATGAAATTTTGCAACAAGTAAAAAAGATGAATAAAAATCCACTCATTTCCTTATAGTAACATATTTCTTTCTGTGCATGTTGGCCTGCGACATAATACGTGCGTAGGTGGCTGCTACAGATGGTGTTTATGACATTGGAGGGACTGTATGGCGTTTGCCTGATAGTAGTTGATTAATATTTCACTGAGCATAGCAACTTGATTCCCTATCGTTGAATGTCCCATAAGAGCCACATACGTTTTTGATCTCACTGAATTATGATAACGGCACAGAGAGAGCACAAGAGTAAAGGAAAGATGAGAAACACGAGTTTATAAGCAGGGAGGTAGATGAGGTTGGTTTGAACATAGTGTTGGATATTGTTATCGTAAAAGGTATCTGAATATTGCTGCATGGATATCAAGCATGACGATTTTGTACAGGCATGGAAAACTAGAAGGTAACACACGAAGTCTGCATTATATCCGTGAAGGCAAACTCTCCGTGTCCAGTTAATAGTTGACTTTATTTTTGTTTCTTTCTAATTTTCCTAAATGACCGCTGTAATGTAGTTAACTCTGCAATTTGCATCTTCATGAAAATCATCCCCAGAGACGTTCCTGTGCTATAAATGCAAAATTAGGAGTAAATTGCACCATTAACGCACAGGAAAGATGTAAAAGCTTGGATTTAAAGGAGCATTATGTAACATTATGTAACACTACAAAATTGAAATTTTGGTTAGTTGACAAATTTTCCGTGTGACTGTAGTTTACTCAAACTTTTCAACGTATTTTTGCAATTATCTCTAATTTCTGACATCAATTGATGGTTGGCACTAAGGTTGTGGTGCCACCACAAACCAGAATGCAAAGTCCCTGGTACACAATCAGAATATTCCCCCGACCACCAACCAACCAGCGTTGGCGGACGCTCGATCTCAGGAGCAGTCTGACCAGATTTAGGCTAATCAAATCTAATTTGAGTTCAATTTGAGACAAATTTGACCCCCGAAAACGCTCCAACCACTGCAGACATACTCCCAAGCACCAGCTAACCCAACATTTTGAAACATATTCGGCTGACGCAACCTGACAGTAGCCTGAACCTCGCCAAACACTAGACAACCAAATCTGACTTTGCTCCCGACCAACTCCTAACCATGGTTGGCGAGGCCATATTTGACTAAGTGTGACAAGGGTTTTAAAGGGTTCTGAGCTCAACGGTATATGCGTACATATCAATATTACCGAGCATCCTGATCTGAACAACATTCTTTAAGCACATATGAGATACGAACTCCCTGAGATGCTTTAGATTAAGCCATGCGCTAAGTCCCTCATGATCTCTTCCATGACTGCGGAGGATTAATGCTTGATCCGGCTGAAAGTAGGTTGATGGCTTCGCGCCTGGGACGCGGGTTATAGGTACCCTCCGCTGCGCTGCAATGGTTTAACGCGCCCGCTTCAGTGTCACACAAATTACGCTGTGCGGCCTAACTCGGTAAGCTCACACAGGTACATTACCACGGGGCAACGACAGTGTCTGCTAGCTGTAATGTACTACATACAAATCCGCCTACACTACCTCCGGTCCCATACACTACATCCCGTCTAGTTGTTTTATACTTGACTTGTGTTTCGCATCCTTTTAGTGTTACTTTGTTATCTGTGGGTTCACTTTTAAAAGCAACGTGAACTGTACATGCAGTACCAGCCATCGGCACCGTCACTGAAGCTATGTACACATCGAGGGATTTGTTTGAACAAATTTGTCTGGACTACCTCCGGTCTCATAGATACTACATTAACATGTCCCATCATTCTTGTCAAGTTGACTCGTGTGCAACATTAATTATCTGTGGTTTCCCTTCAAAAATCAACGTTGATCATAGCCCCAGCCATTGACACCGTCACTGGGGCTATGTACACATCGAGGGACTTGTTTGAACAACTCTATTTGGACTAACTCTGGTCTCATAGATACTACATTAACATGTCCCGTCTAGTTGTGTTATACTTGCCAAGTTGACTCGTGTTTCTTGCCGTCCTAGTGTAACTTTGCTATCTGTGGTTCCCTGCGTAAAGCAACGTGGACTATCATTCAGCCACCGGTACCGTCATGTACACACCGAGGGGCTTGTTTCAACAACTCCGTCTGTACTAACTCTGGTACCACAGTGATAGACTACATTAACGTGTCCCGTCTAGTTGTTTTATACTTGTATGGTTGACTCGTATTTCTCATCAGTCTAGTGTAACTTTGTTATCTGTGGGTTTCCTTCGAAAAGCAACGTGAACTATGGCTCCAGCCATAGGTACCGTCACTGGAGTTATGTACACATCGAGGGACTCGTTTGAACAAATCTGTCTGGACTAACTCTGGTCTAAAAGACAACATTAACATGCCCTGTCTAGTTGTTTTACACTTGTCAAGTTGACTCTCACCGTAATAGCGTAGCCTAGTCTGTGGCCGAGACTGGCTGGTAAAAATTCTGTTAATTGTGGGTTTCCTTCAAAAAGCAACGTGAACTATTACTCCAGCCACCAGTACCGTCATGTACACATCGAGGGACTCGTTTGAACAAATCCTTCTGGACTAACTCTGGAACATTAACATGTCCTGTCTAGTTGTTTTACACTTGTCAAGTTGACTCGTGTTTCTCACCGTCCTAGCGTAGCGTTGAGCCGAGACTGGCTGGCGTCAGGCAAATCTCCCGGCACGAGTTGTTTGAGGAGTTACGGAACGAGAGGCGAGGTGAGAGTGACAGGTGGAAGTCCGGGAGGAGTCTATCGTGTCATCAGGGTTGCGGGAGTCACTCCGGAAGGTTGACTGGCGATCGATCGTAACCCGATCAACATCTGAACCTTTAATCAACGCAACGCCAAATCAAGTCAAGTTTAAGGTGACGCCGTGTCAACCCCTCCTGTTGGTTGTTTCATATTACGCGGTGTCAACTACTCCTATTGGCTGAGTCATTAATTAGTTTACGTGGTGTTAACTCATCCAATTGGTCGTGCCATTTTCACATTACCTTGATACTAGCATAGATATCATGCCAGATTTATAATTAACTGTAAAATAAATCAATGGCAATGTTATCTTCTAGCTAGTCTTTTTAAATAGATCGGATGAGAAATTCTGATTCTTCATTTTCTTGCTTTAACAAAAGATTGGGCATTTTCTTTAAGACAGATTATCAAAAATAGATTGATATATATAGTATTTATAGACTTGTTCAAAATGATCTTTAACGTGAAAGGTGCAATATGTGACATTTTTGCTCAAACATTATCGTAATTGAAAAACCTTTTCAATATATTGGTGGTTATTTTACATTTCTGACATTTATTGTATGCGATGAAACAGCCCACAAGAGACACACTCATTTTGTTGCACCACCAAAAGCCACTGAGACGTACACAAACATGGCTGACATGTTGTGTTAACTATTTTTTTAACGTTCTCCTAAGACGTCATATTTTGACCACCCCCTGTGCGGCACTTATTTGCAATGGAGTAGAATCAATCGATTCAATAACTTCAAAGATATGACCAGCACGTTTTGAATCGTCCTAATATTACATAATGCAGCATAAATGCAGCTGTTGAGTACTGCTGACTAACGATGACTTTTAAGTACTTAATGCATAAAACCGTAGTACTGGCACATGAAATAATGCAATATATCATGAAGGGATCGTGAACAGCTTCAATAGACCAGTTCGATACGCTGATGTTATTGGAAAACTGAGTATTAGCAACTGGTATCTGTTTCTCACCAAGTCCAATAGAATCCGACAAATCTCTTTGTTAGCACCATCACGCTCAGTTGCTGGCAGTAATTTACCCCCACCTTCTCCATTAACGAACAACGGTTACTCCCCTGGGGTACACACATCACTGTATAAGCCAACCTTTTTTTCTACCTTCGGCTTTGTGTAGATAACAACAGAGAACCCACGCAGTGTATGATCGACTGTATGATACCCTTTTGGATCTGTCCCTGTGGTGGTGGAATCAGCTGTATTCCTGTCACCTTCCCGGGTAAAGGGCGATAAATATCGCCTGGCAAAGGGGGACTTAGCCCGGCCCTATAATTCCAATCTCGCGGATTTAAGGCTGAGTCCACCGGGAAATTGTCGCGTATGAAAAAAGGCTTACTCGCCGGAGAAGTAATTCGGTTAATACCGATCTGCGAAGGGAATATTGGACTCAATGACATTAATGCCGCGGGATCTATGTATCGAACTCTTGTTCCTTCCAGCGTCCATCGAGTGGAGAAGAGAGAGCCGGAGGAGGGGGAGAGAGATCCCGGGAACATGCGTGCGGCAGCCCGCGTTGATGTTCCTACGGTTACCAGAAGTGACATCCCCGAGAGTCAAAGCTTGCCGACTACCGGATTCCATCTGATGTTAGCATCATCGCACAGCTCAAAAACAGGTGCGCCTCTTTCCTTACCCGAGTTGTCAAAAACGCAATACTGTCGTTACTAATTACTTATATCTTATCTATGATCAAGATATTTTCCCGTTGATAACCTTTGTGGAAACGAAATTGCTATAACGACCTGGTCCTAAGGGTGTAAGCTGTTGGAGCGAGGTCTATCGAAGGTCTTCCACGGTAGTTCGTAAATCTAAATCCCGCACGCCTACATTACTCCCCGTCGCCGGTTGTTTAAACACCGTGAATTAAGCATCACAGGGATCGTGTTCAACTATTACTTTAAGACCTAACCATGTGGAAACGATATAAGAGAAGCCTTCCCGGCAAAGCCGCGGTGTTATATTGCCGGGATAAGCGTGCGGCTGAATGCGCTTTAGGTGGGCGACGATTGTCCATTAACGCCCTTTTACGTTTCCTCGATGAGCTAAAGGATCTACCGCGATTCCGCAAGTACTACCCTTATCGATGCCGCGCGTAACAAGACGGTCAGTGGCGACCGGAATCCGTAGCAGGTCCTTAAGCATGGTGGCATCTAGTGTACGTCCATATACAAGTACGCAGTACATAGTGTACAATATAACAGAAAATGTCTCGTTTCTTTATGACATTTTTTTCTTGCATATTAGATGTATGATGCCTTGTTTAATTAGGCAGTATGTTATGCACCACTTTAACGTTGTATTAAGTTATTTGATGTCTGCAGTATGACATTTTGACTTGGATGTATGTTTATGTGACTTCTGTCTGGGCGACAATGTCGCAAGACACAATAATAAAATACATACAGTCATTCATTCATTCATTCATTCATTCATTCATGGCTAAGAAAATGCTGCGTTTTTTTGCATTTCTTACTTTCTTTGCTTTCCAGACGTCTGCAGCCTTGTTTAAATCCCACATGAGAGAACATGCGGTCAATGATTCATGAAGTATTAATAGTGGTGTCACCCTCACTCTTAACAACACATGGTTTCTGTATAATTGATACGTGTTATTAGCTTTGGTTCCCATTTTGATATGATCTGTGAAATTGGCGCGTCCGTTTGTTGTCTATTGGAAAATTACTTCCCAATTACTTGCTGTAGAACACAGGGACACGTTGTCTGCTAATGTTATCCCTTCTTAATGCATGGAGCTGCTTGTTGAAAGTATTGAGCAGACACAATGACATATACATGCAACTAAATGGCCCCTGGGAAAGCAGCTAAGCCTATCTTCAATCATAAATGTAAAAGAATGTTACAAATTACAAATATGTACTTTATAAGACACGTTAAACAGTAGCATCTGACATTGCAACACTGATCCTGACAACTTCCGTTATGAATACGTTAAAAGTTCCATTGATACAGTCATATCGTCAATTAGCATGATGAAGTTTTCAGCAAAGTGACAAAATTTTGACTTGAATCTACTATCAGAAGACTGATATTTTATATACATACTCATAAACCATTTGCCGACCTTATATACTAGCTCTGTAAAACTATGGAATAACATATCTGTGGAAGATAGCACAGAAGTATTGTGGAAATAACACGTAAAGATAATCTTAACATAAACGGGTCGTAAAGATACCTAAGGAATAAAGAAGCAGACTTTAAGCAGGATTTAACCATGCTTAGATATTGTTTTACCTGCCGTGCGTGGTTTTTAGATAACAGTAAGATACAGATCTGACCCACTTGGTAATTCAATAAAACTAGTGGCCTGGGAACAATCAAACTCCACCAGGCTGCAGAGAGCTTACATCAATACTATTTAAATATATATATATTTCTAACTATCGGCAATAAAAGGTCATGTGCTGGTGTTAAGTTTATACCAGAACAATTCACTTATTCCATTTTCAATTCATTTTGACGAAAACTGGATTTGCGTGAACCTTGATGTTGTAATGAGAATATGATGTACGAGTTTGTTTGCGAATTCATGCCCCGAGGGCTAATTGCAACATGGGACAGACAATGAATAGAGTATACAGACATTCCAACGGTAGCAAGTGACTATTCTAAAGATCGCTACGGAATACAACCTAAATATTTTGTTGTTGTTTAAAATATATCTTTAAAGATAACAAATTATGAAAATCGTTTTTTTTATGTAGAAAACACATTGAATGAGTTGTCAAATATTTGGACACTCATCATTCGCAGCCTCTAGCTAACAGAGGATATAATATTGTTAGGATATATACGTGGAAATGACTTTATCAGCACAATATTTTTAAAAATCCATCTCAAGTGACTTTTTAAACTAATCTAAAACTAATCTTAACTAATCCCAAATGAATTTTTACAACAAAATCTAAAAATTCATCTATAGTGTCTTTTTTTCAGCAAAATCTAATAATCCATTTCGTTATTTCAGCAAAATATTTTTAAAAAATCCATTTTGAGTGAGTTTTTTTCAGCAAAATTTAAAACAACCCGTCTCAACTGACTTTTCTTCAGCAATATATGAAAATCCATCTCTAACAGAACGTCTTGATATTTATCGAGAAAACATTGACAAATGACATTAATAATCCAAAGGAGGTTACCGCTGCATCAGCATGGTAACGGCGACAGCCCTCCGTAGACTTAGATCTCGTGATAAATCAGATCGGTTGGGACCGTGGCCTGCTGCTGCCACAACGCGCCATCGGCAATGCCTGAGGCGGTAGAGCTGCACGTACACACGGTGCCAGAAACAACAGAGATTCTTGTTCAAGATAACTCCAGACATGGTATGCGATGAATCGATTTTGCATGATGCTTACAAATGAATTTGACCATTTAAAAAATTTATTACCATATATTTAACGAGTATCAGACAAAAAGCACAGTAATTGTTTATGTAACGCCTTCTACTCGAGGATATAAGTATAGAATAACAGTGAAACACAATGACAAATTGTATACATATTTACAAATTGGATAAAAGAAAAATGAATTTAAACAAGACAATTTGGTGATATATCAATTACGAAAATCTACCTGTAAAGTGAATAAATCTTTGAACTATGTTGAAGATATTGCAGTTTGGAAATATGAAACTGACGTGGACCCTCGTAGCAGAAAAGATCATAATGTGCTGTTTTTGACTGATTTCATGCCTTTATTGACTTCGGTGCTTAAATGTTGCTAAAAATGACAGCCGGATAGCCACTAGTGCACTAGCCACTTTTTACGGACCTACTTAAAGGTGGTACAGTTGTAATATTCAAGCACCTGTGAATATTACGAAAAAAACTATAAAAAAGTTCTGAAAAACAAACCTTTACGACTGTTTTATGAGTGCTTATACATATCTAGAAAGTGGATTTCATGCAGCTATATTTTAAATCTTACTTTAATATTTGTAAAACTTTCAATATTTGATCGAATCCGGTTTGTAAAAGATTGTATCATCCTGCATTTATGTCATAGTATTTTGTATGTTGTATACGTTGTACTTGAAAAAGATATACTGTTCATTAAGAATATTCGATTGGGTATTTCCTGTGCAAAATGGACCTTGCTGTGCACCTAAGAAATAAGATACAAGGATACCATCATCGCAAAGTGTTGTTCGCACGGACATACATGTACACTTTGAATAAGTGATTGAATGTCAACTGGGTAAACGAATATCGATTCCAACAGGTTGAAGGTATTGCATTTAGGAGTGATAGAATTCACTGCGGGTAGTATTGGATCGGAAGTGCTTTGTGAGGCACATTTTCCATTTTCCGGTAGCCAATCGACGACGGTATTAACAGAGGATTACGCGGTGTTAACACGAAGCCAATGAGGCGTTAACGAAGCGGTGTTGGTCGATAGGCGGTTTTGTCAGGGCTTGGAATTGCCACAGGCAAAATATTGACAAAACCTGAGATGTCAAAGTGTGGTAGTAAACTGTTACCTTGGGATGACTAACTGGTGATATTTTCCCAAACGGCCAATGTGGCTATGAGTAGTCTTACTTAATGTATAAGTTTGCAACAATACAAAGATAAAGTTATGTTTTCAAGGTTTAGAATGCCATTGATTGCGTATATTGGGACCATCTTACAACGTCAAGTACAAGAAGAAACAGTCATATTTTACAACATATGCTACTACCAAAAGATGTAAGAATGAGTGATGCAATAATGTCAAATTTTAGTGCTTCCGTAAAGTTTAAGATCTGCGTATGAGTTAAAATACCACTATATACATCTTTAGGTCAACTTAAAACTTCTTAATCAACAGTTAAGCAATAGTCAAAAGCTTGAAATTTAGATGCAAACTTTCTGGTATTTCTACGGATATGTAAGTTTTGTATTATATATGTATACAATACATTTATCGTCTCTAGCACAAGCACGTTCATGGTCATTGATGAGCAGAATAAACAAGGACAATAATATTAATACGATATATGAAATATCCATCTAGAATTCACTGACATAGTATTAGATGTTATCCAATATTGATTTCAAACTTAATTGATTTGTGAACTCGTTTTATTAGACGAATCATTCCAATATCTTCATCATTTGTAGAAGTGATGTTCAAATATGCATTCAAAATCATTTCTAAGCACATTACGGTTGGAGCCGCCTTACTAATAAACTTAGTTTCCTTGATCTAAAGCTATACGAAAAGCCTCAAAAATGAGATTATGTTCTTCCGATAGAGTATAAAATCGGTCTTGTTCTAATGCAATTATATATTCATTGCTCATAGGAATTAACACGATGAGTCGGTCCTCTAATTATAGAAAATCGAAATCTTATTGGACATATATAGTGGATGTTTAAGAAAACAGTGACTGTCGACAATTAGTTCAGCCCTGATATTGCTGCCTCTTTGTGCTGTCGGTAAGTCACTCCGTCTTGTGTGTTTGTACCTTATTAACTTACAAGTAGGTGAAATATTGACTTTGACAGCCTTGCTGTATGGTATAGTTTAAACTTTTTTAAACATCGCCATAACGTATTTCTTACGGGATGAAGTATAGAAATAGAATAGTGTTCTGTTATCTTTAATATA